CCCTTCACAAGCACCCGCACAAGCTGCGGTGCAGCGCAGCGCTCGCGCGTGCGGTGAGGACGCGCACAAACGCGGCACGTTTGCTAGCGAGGAGCGCGGTGGGCAGCCCTGCAGCAGGGCACCTGCACCCGCGCCGGCTGCATGCCTGCTCTGCAGGCTGCTGCCTCAGAGGGAAGCCCACAGCCACAGAGTAGCTCCCTCCTGTCGTGTCCCCGCCCCTATCCCCTCTATTTCTGCAGCCTCTCTTTGCAGAGCTGGCTGAGGCAATTTTAAGACAGGACTACCCCTCCCCAGGTGTTTGTTCTTGCTGTTTGGCCAAAAAATCCTTGGTGCCATATCCAAGAGGTGACTAGATCACACGAGTACGCATAGGTTAGTGCAAATATTTAAAGTGAAGTTGTTGACTTTGCCTGAAGTGAATGAAAAGCATGCCTTTCTGTCAATTTAGGTTTGGGCAAAAAAACTCCTGGCAGAAGCTGGAAGGTGATGTCTTCTCAGACCGCAAACGCTTCTTCAGCATTGGCTTACTGCGGCCCTAGATGTAGGCAAACATGGCCGACTCCTCCTGTGTTACGAAGGTAATTTAATTGCTGAAGGTGACCCATTTTGTATTAATGGAAATCCAGCACCCAATACCTGACCTAGGATTTTTTGTCCAGAAGTAATAGGAATGAGAGAAGGATCTCAAAGATTCCTATATGTTCCCTTGGGTTCTGCTAGTGATTATTTGGTACAGTGGGATAACCAGGTAATCCTTTTGTTCCTCATGTCCGTTGTCCCTAAAAAGACTGTAGCTTGCAAAGTGCATGCTTCACAAAATCTGGCTGCAGACCAGAATTTTCCTAATGGATCAGTGTGAATATTGTTGGGTTTAATTTGTTACATTAGTTGTATTAACCTAATTTGCTGGAGAGTCAAAGGAGTAAATGTTCGGGTAATGGGCCAATTAAGTCAGTGAGGTTACCTCAGTATTCTTTCACCGAAGGTCGGTAATTCCTATAATCTACTTAATATTTTTAAAATTTTCTTAGTGACAATTTTATTAATTGGAATCCTTAATCGGAAAACCTAATAGTGTTTATCAAATTTTCTCCTACAGTTTAAATTGAACAGGGCATTTTTCACTTCTAAATATGCATGGAATATGTGGTTATATGCTATTAGATCCATTGCATGCTGCACCTGAGACATATCTGCATTTACTGTTACATAATCAATAAACGTGAATTTTCTTCCAAAGAATCTAAAATCAGATTTTTAGCTGTTTTAAATCAATATGCCTCCGCAAAGTTATTGCCTGCCAGGAAACTTATACCAGCTAAAAATTTAGCCTCTGAATTAAAAAGCTTTTTGAGATTCATATGATGATAAGTATCTTAATAACTTTATTTTTTTAATTTTGCATTCCTGAAACCTGAGTACACAATAAAACATTATCAGGTCCTTTGCTATAGAATAAAAAATGTACCGTTATAATGGGTCAATGCAATTCTTAATATATTTGTCTCTTTTTTATAAGGTTCTTATGTTCATGCTAATAGTTCAACATGACTCACCTACAGTACATATCACTGCCACAGCTGTTGTAAACCTTCCTCTGAGTCAGAGAATGACTTTATGACCCAGAATTCTGGCAGTGAGTACTATCCTAGTGATTTTCCCAATTAAGAGAGAACTGCTAGTTGGTATCAGTGCAGGGTGAGTCAGAGTTTGATGTAAGAGGCAAAACTGGACTCCTCAGTTACTACCGGACTAGCTCACTATGTCCTCCCCCTCCAAGACTCAGTGACATGAAAACCTGGAATGAGTCTGATGGGAACTCCTTTCAGGGTTCAGAAAGTCTGCTGTGGACCAGGGAATTAGCTCTGCCAAGTCTCAAGTGCTCTAACCTCTGTACTAGCGGTCTGCCAGTCATCACTGCGGGATGCACAGCGGCTTTGCAGGGAGATGGGGCCAGCAGCAGTGAATAGGAGAGAGGCAGTAGGACTTCTCTGCTTTACTCTGAGAAAACATTTTGCTTCTTGGGCTTACCAGAATGCAGGACGTGTGATGTTTAAACCACGTATATTTCTGCCTGTGGTTCCTTGTATTTTATTGCTGTAAAACAGCAGCTCAAATCTGCCCCAACTGGTTGTGCATAGCAAAATTTGTGTCCCCTATAATCTGCCAACTGCTTGCTACAGAGAACGTGTTGGAATTTGTCAACAAGCTATCCTTTACTCAAAATCCTGTCAGAAGAAAAGGAGCCAATATTTAGGACTCAGTATAGGGTTAAACTAGGAGGGCAAGACAAGCTACAGTTTAGGCTGGCTCCAATCTAAGGTTCTGGCTCCAGCTTTTGTCATCTTTTTGGTCTAGGTTTAGCAGGGTTGAGGGACTAGATTTAGAGCTTGGCTTGAGTCTGTGGAGGCAGTGAGAAGGAATTGTTGCTGGGGATGCTTTGATCTTGCTGGACAAGGTAAAGGACCCTGGGTGAGGGTTAAGGGGAATAAATGACTTGTCTTTTATTTCTCTTATGACCTTTCAACTGCTTGCATCAAAGAACATGTCAAGCTCTCACAACGTGCCTCTTTCAGTGAAATTCCTGCCAGTGGATGAGGGGTGTGGGTTGAGCCTGCTCTGAGTGACTCTGCTGCTGAGATTTTTTTTTTTTTTTAAGCCTCAGGTTAGTGAATGTAAATCAGCCTTCTGGAGGTAAACAGTCAGTGAAGGCTTTGGTTTTATGACAAGGTAGACTCACTGAGGTCAAACTGTTGCCTGGGGTTGGCACTGATAAGGTTGCTTCCTTTACCAGGGTTTTACCTGCAGCAAAACAATGACCTGCATTCGCTACCATGACTTAAAACCATCCTACCTCTCCTAAGCAGTGAGAACAAGTCTTGGATAATCACAGACATCCTTGTGAGTGATCTTTGTGGCTTTTCAGGTTCTGTTCTGAGAGAGGAGGAGCAGCAGCAGCTTTCTGCCTCAAAAACCCTCTCCAAATACCCAGGTGATCCTCTCAGAAGAAGGATGAGCTGGTCAGCTGCAGCTCTCACAAGCGTCTTGTTGTCACTCTCAGTTGTTCATTTTAAAAAGGGAAGCAAGGGCCAATTGACAACATAGTGTATATAACAACACGGTCCCCAGTGGACTTGTGCTGTCTTGGGGGAAAGCAGCAGCTCATAAAGGCCCAGAGCTGATGTGTTATTTCTCTCAAATGGCTCAGTTATTTCAAAATACCAAAGCCTGCTGCATTTATCTAGCTCTGATTTATGTGGACACTTTTTTTTTTTTTTTAACTTTGCAAGTGTAAGAAAAGGATTACTCCTATCTCCAATGGGAAGAGTCCAGTAGAACTTGGCAGGCTAAAAGCCCCCAGCTTTCTACGTATCTTTTTCATCTCTAGCATTCTTGAGCCTATGTCTTCTCTTAAACAGAACAGATTTCATACAGAGGTGGTGGAATAAAAGTGTCAGAAAGCAAAGCAGAGACAGCACAGAGCTGATGAAATCCAGCATAGGCTGATAGGACAAACATTTCCAGCCCAGCGCTGTAGTTCTGCATCATGTATGTAAGGTCATTCAAAATAAGCATAGCTTAAGGCTTTTCCAAACAATATTAAGGCCAACTCACATTTAGCCTCAAAATCAGGTCATATCTCCCCATCTCTATCCTGCCCCAGTGTGAGGCAATGAGGAAGCGAAGGAATTGGACTGCCTAGGGAAGAGGATCCTCTTCTCTAACTCCTTCAGTTGCAAAAGTTTCTTTACACAAAAGGATATTCCAAAAATTCCTAAGTATTGCATGCAGAGTTATGTTTATGAAGATTTTGAGGTATGCCCCACTGGGTCTGTGTTTTTTTGTTTTTTTTTTTTTTTTTACAAATTTACCTTTCATATAAAAAATACCTATAGATTCATGTCCATGGGACTAAGCAGGATGCATTCAAGGGTGTTAAGGGAGCAGCTTATGCCACTACAAGGCCACCCTCCTATCTTTGGAAGGTTGTAGTAATGGGGGCTCTAGTGACTGGAGAAAAGCAAATGTCATACCCATCTTCAAAAAGTGCAAGGAGGACTGTTCATGGAACTACATGCTGGTTAGTCCTACCTCAGTCCTTGGGAACATTATGAAGGAAATCCTCTTGGAAGCAGTTTCTAGGCACATGAAGGACAAGATGGTGGCTGGGAACAGCCAGCATGGGTTTAGCAAAGGCAAACTGTACCTGACCAACCTGATTGTCATATGATGGAAGGTTTAGTTCAGGGAATAAGTAGAAAGGCAATGTTGTTTGCCTTGACTTTAGCAAGTGTTTTAACTTAGTCTCCTGTAGCATCCTTATAGGCAAATTTAGGAGGTAATGATAGGTGAGTTACAAGGTGAGTGAAAAATTAGCTGAGCCACTGAGCCCAAAGGATAGCAGCCAACAATTCAAAATCAATCCAGTGACTGCTTATGAGAGGAGATTCTCTGGGGCTGTTGCTGTTTAACATCATTATCAATTACCTGAATGAGAGGATGGGCTATACCCTCAGTTCACAGATGAAGTCAAATTGGGGGGAGCAGTCAATATGCTAGAGAGTAGGCCTGCCATTCAGAGAGACCTCAACAAGCTGAGCATTAGACTGACAGAAACTTTGTGATGTTCAATGCAGACAAATGCAAAGTCTTATACTGTTATGCAAAGTTGTATATTTTTTGTATTGATGAAATAATCCAATGTGACAGTACAGGTTGGGAACCATCTGGCCTGAGAGCACCTTTACAGGAAATGATGTGGTAATCCCAGCATATGACAAGTTGAACCTGAATTGGCAGTGTGCCTTTGCAGCAATGAAGGCCGATTGCATACCCAGTTGTATTAGCAAGAGCATCGGCAGCAGCTGAGGGCAGTGATTCCTCCCCTCTAGGAGGCGCTGCATCTGGAGTTCTGAGTCTCCCAGTGCAAGGCAGACATTAGCAAACTGGAGACAGTCTACTGGAGGGTCACTAAAATGGTTAGGACCTGGAACATGCTGCTGCAAAAAGAGGTGGAGGGAGCAGGGTTTTCTTTTTTTATCCTGGAGAAGAGAAGGCAAAGAGAAGGTCTTAGTGCTGTCTTCAGTTACCTAAGAGTGAGTAATAAAGAAGATGGAATTAGATGCTTTTCAGAGGTACACAGCAAAAGGACAAGAAGCAATGGTCCTGAGCATGTAACAAGAGCTACTTTCTGACCAGATACAAAAAATTGTGGATACTCTTCCTTTCACAGTAAGAATTACTAAACCTGGCACAGGCTGCCCAGAGAGACTGTGGCATCTCCATCCTTGGAAATATTTAGAACTCAGCTGGACAAGACCCTAAGTAACCTGATCTGACTTCCAAGCTGACCTTGCTTTGAGTAAGGATTAGACCAGATGACCTCCAGAGGTCCCTTCCAACCTGAATTATTCTGTGGTTTTAGAGTGGATCTTTGTAGTGAGGCTTTGACAATTCCACTGTTTGTATCCTGATTTTCCAGGAGGGGAATGTAAGGTTAGGGACAGGAAATGCAAACAGCTGTTTGAAAGAGTGGGGTTTAAAAGTCAGGTAGTAGGCACTAAGGAGGGGCTAGAGG